CAATAAATTAAAACATACGTTGTTTTCTTAAAAATGAGATTGGCCCTTTGGTTATACTCCCTGCAATAATTATTTATTTATTAATACAATTATTATTTAATATATTTTTAAGGGTGCATCGCTCACAAAGAAGTACAAAGCTCCAGTAGACCTGTGTAGGAGCATCTCCTGCTGCGAGAACCTGCCAGGCTCCACCGCAACCGCAACACCTTACACACAGCCCTCCACTCCAACCTATGCTAATACATATAAAATTGTCCTACTCCCTCAAGCGCTATTCCTGTCTCATCCCCTACAGGGCGAAAATATAAGAAATCAAGCTAATGTCTTGGAGCATACTTATAGGCTGGGAGTGACTGTAAAATGGATAAAAGCACATTCATCGGGAATGAAGAAGCTGATGCATTAACGAAAGAATCAGCAAGTAGTTCAGAAGAAACTACTTCCACCAAGTACCTTTTGGTTACGTACAGGCTAGCTTGAAACTATGGAAAAACGATTGGGGGGCATCAACTAACGGAAGCACATCACAAGTTCTTTATGTGGGCATCTGGTCGGTTATGGGAAAACCGAGCTGACCTCTCATTATTCCATATTAAGACGACACTACAAGTCGATGCAAAAAACCAAATGAACAAACATGGGATCACATCCTTTACAACTTGTATATACTTATTCGGGGAACTGAGATCACCATTTGAGCGTCTTAACTTAAGGGGATAACGGGACACCATCATGAGCCATTGTCATGAGGAAATACAAAATATATTTTCTTAAGTTCCTCCATTCTACCGACTTCAACTTAATGTGACACATAGTGATATAGTGATACATAAGAATCATAATTGTATTTATCTGTACGTACACTTAATAATATTTTGTATTCAGCATATAGTAATTTATGCAAATAAAGGGAAATAAAAAATAAAAAACTCCGAAAGCCGAATAGGTAATAAGGACTAATATGGGATGGAATTTAAAGTTAGAGCAACAGTAGTTTTTCGAAAATATTCCCGATTATAGGTAAAAGATTGGTCTGTAGGAACTAAGAAGGTGAGTGGGTTTGTTGGGTTAAGGAATAACCTGTAATTTTAGGAAGTTCTTCTCAAGTTACAGTCCTTGGCAATGTTGGAACTGAGTCAGTCTTAAAGGAAAAAAAATCAAATTTGAGTTCATCTGTAAAAACACTTAAATATGTCAATCTGTCGACATATTTGATATTGTTTTGCTCTGATGATGACCATAAAATAGGTCGAAAGCTTGGCAGTAAAAACTGAATTTACTTTCTTTTTCAAGACCATACTTTGATCCAGGGTTTTCGTGAATATATTTATTAGCGCGAATGCATAGTGTGAATATTGTACCCCAATCGTCCCTCGATTAGATTATAGTCATATTACTTGTTTTTTAGAAATTGTACACAATACAATTACTTCCAAATGTAAGAAAGCAAAGTACTATTTCAAAAAACTACATGGAATTGTTTTTCAATAAATACCAAAATAATAAAAAAAGGAGAAATTAATCTCAAAAATTTCCATATTTAAAAAAAACACCTTTATAAAATTTTTTAAATAAATTGACAAACGAATAGATTGTATAATGGATTAGTCGACGAAAATAGAAACGAAAAAGAAGTCAATGTGATAAATTATGTCAATTAAGTATATGAACCTCGGGTGCAAGCGTTTTTGAAAAAAAGACTCTGCCTGTTGTGCCGAGATCTGCTGGATTCGAACACCGGACCTCTACCTTAAAGTGATGAGTTGACTTACAAGCCACCCCCTCTAGAATTTTAGTTTATATTTCCGATTATAATTTATTTAAGAAGATCAAACATATGCCATTACGTATAGACTTTGCAGTTCTAAAATAAGGTTTTATTTCCTGCAAATCAGTTGAGTCCTTTCAAAATTATTACCATTTTTTCGATTTTCGAAAAAGAAATAGAAGGCAGAAAAAAGCAAACAATTTGAAAAAAAATTTCCTCAATAATTTTTATTTTGCGATTTTGGAGTGTAGAAAACGAAAATCAATGTTTTTCTTCTTTAAACAATATTATAAGCTATTAAATCCATTAGATTTCGTTGTCCGATTGTCCAAATGACTTCTTTCAATTAATTAATCTTTATGTAAGGTATTGGTTGAAATAAAAAAGTCAGTGTCACGAGCAGAATTCGAACACACGACCTTCAGCGAGTGGATCGAAGTCACGATAGTTCAAGTGATAGAGCAGCGGCATAGTTATCCGAAGGTCGTGGGTTCGAATCCCGCTCGCGGCACTGACTTTTTATCTAAACAACACCTTACATAAATATTAATTCGAAAAGGTTATATGGTCAATCGGACCACGAAATCTAATGGTTTACTAATGCTTTTACATTTTACAGCATAAAATGGAAATTTGGTTTATAAGTGCAACATCTATAAATATTTAACGCGTTTATTGCCACTATTTATATATAAAATTAATTGACGATACAGTAAAGTTGGCTAAAAGTTTGTTTTTGAAAACCTAATGTGCGTTCGTTTTAAGTACCGTTTAAAGCCAATTAAAAACTAACAACAGTAAATAAACGTCGGGTTGATTTGCCGGAGGCAATCTTTTTCTCGTCGATTTCAGGTTGTGAAAACTATTATCACAAAAAAATAAGATATTTCCCTTAAAAATACCACATTTAATGTTTTACTTATAATATTTTGTATATGTGTTTTTTAATTAATTCTCATGTCTCAATAATTGACTATACTATGATTATCATTATGTTTCTATCGGCAATACTCACATTTGAAAAACTTCAAATTATAGGATTATCTGCAAACCATGATACCTCGTAGATGAAAATTGGAGAAAAAAAATCTTTTAAGATGCTAACAAAAAATCTAACTGCGATGGCAAAAAGGAGGGAAAATTCAAAAGGTGGGTTGAGATGGGAAGTTTGTAGCCGAGTGGATCGATGTCACGATAGCTCAAGTGGTTGAGCAGCGGCGTATTTAGCCGAAGGCCGTGGGTTCGAATCCCGCTCGTGACGCTAGCTTTTTTATTTCAACCAACACCTTATATAAAGATTAATTAATTATAACCTTTAGGAAAACGTTAAACAACTTCTCAAGAGAAAATTTTGATCATCCACATGTGTTAGATTTTTGTTCAAAGAAGAAAAATGTAGTTTTTCAACGGGTTTTATAGTTCTTTTCTTTTTTACCAGGATGTTATAATGTAACATTCCGTTCCCGAGAAATCATCGTCAACAAGACAAGAGGATCTTTAGCGTCCGCACCTGGCCTATTCGGCCTTATCGGACGTTTTGATTCTCAAGATGGGAGCTGACGCACCTCCGCATACGACGAATGAGTGTTACCGCCGCAGCATTGGTGTAGAGGCGCCCCAGCCTCTAAGGGCCAAGACAACCTCGCTCTCCGCTTGACCACTCCGAATGGTCGGGCCCGCATTGTGCATCGGGTCGTATGCCGCACGCAAAGGGCTAACAAGCCGAAATACGTCAGCCTGTTCTCCCGAGTACTCCCTAGATAGAGAACGCGACTCTATCTCCCAGAGTATTGGGGCTTCCCATAGCTTAGAAACTACCGGATCCGCCTCGGCCGCGGTTTTGTTTTTAGTGGAATTGCTAACCACTCCCTAGATGAGCACCGCCTACGGTAAAACCACCCGGCGCGCTCAGCCTACACCTGCCATGCGCATTCGAGGGACGCCATAGGCCCTGCGTAGGTGGTCCGATCCTTCGCTTCCCCAAGGGTACCACGCCGGTCATACGCACAACAATGCAAAGCATACTCGAGTCAGAGAAACCGATTCACTACCCGTTTCCGTTCGCTTACTCACGCATTCGAGGGACTATTCAGCGTTATCATCGCGTCCTCAACGCTTACACGCTGTCGTCCGGTCGCAACGTCTCCCTTGAGGCCGGGGTTAATAACGCTGGCCATACGCAAGCTTCACGAAGGTCCCAGATAGAAGACAGCCTCTGTCTAAGTTCCCGCCGGGGGCGTCAACACAAGCCACCACGAATTCGTTCCCAGTGTAACTAGGGCTGAATTTGGAAGTTACCCCGTTGTACAGATGGCCATACACCCTCCCCCGTCTATGCAGACAGGATCTAGTACACTGGCCCTCGCGTGACTCTGCTAAGGCACCCGCCGCCCATGCCAACCCTAGGCCGACACGCGTAGAGCTTGTGGTTCAGAGGTTGCCACGCCCTCTGGGCTGCACCGTTATTTTGTGCCCGGATACCCCCCTTGCAACCAATGGTTGGGAGGGGTCACAGGATAGAATGAAGGAACTCGGATTGAGTTATAATGTAACAATGTGCAATACCTTTGAGTAAGACAAACCGTATGTAAATAAGTTTTGGTTCGACATGCTCTAACACATAAATAATTCGGAAAGTTGCCGAATCATAGACAGTGATTGTGCAACAAGCTAGGCTTCAATATTGATCTTGAAGTGTAGGACAAATATTTTTAAAAATTTACTGGGTAAATAATATCTTCTTAATAAATAAATAATATATCCTTAGACTTATGTAAGGCTAATTTTTTTCATATTAAATAAGTAAGAAAGAACAATATGTTATATGTTATATGTTATCATAAATGTCATAAAAATTACTTTTCGTTTCAGAAAGGAAAAGAACAAACATGTCTCCGAGAGCCCTTGTGGTACACGAGAATATTGTGTTCGCCCGCAGAGAAGTTGAAAACAAACTTCGAAAAACTCCACTTAAAGACAAACAATTTTATTTATTTTGCTATAACTCCCGAATGTTTTTTTGTCGAATAAACTTCCAAGTTGGGTCGGCGGCCAAGTTAAACCGAAACAATAAGAAAATAGAACAATTATTTGTTAAATTGCAAATCACTTTCGAGTCAGTAATAAACTTGAACAACTCGTCCGTAAAGGGTTATGTAAAGGCCTCGCAATCGTGAAAGGGGAAATACGATGCGTATAAAACGTCGGTACGTTAATTTTAATTAAACAGTATAAAACAATACGCGGGAGCCAGCACATCATGTTCTCTATTGTGAGTACTTTTTAATTGATCGTATAGTACCATGTTAAGTCGGATTATCTTGATTTAGGCTATTATCGGTTTTGGTGTGCTTTGGAACGCTTTAGGAACTCCTCTGTTTCAAGTACCGGTGATAGTTGAACAAGTTAGCCCTGTCGCAGATACGACGTCCAAACTTTTAGTCGTGCCTCAGATCATAGAAATTTTCGATAACAGCATCGACGAAGTGCCCAATAATTCAAATGCAAACGGTCAAAGTACACAGCTTGTCTACATGAAATCTGCGTGAGTATAATAACAAAACAAATTTGAAATTCTTATCTTCTTTTATTTCGATTTGTGTTCGCTTTTCCAGGTTCGGACCTAACACTTACAGTGTAGTTCCTGTTCCAAGGTTGAAATTTTTCTCAGGGAAGAGGCCGTCTTTCTTCTGGTCCGGGCCTTCGTCAATGAAATCTCGAACGCCGGTAGTCAACGAAACCGCAAAACCCGTTGTAGCTCCTGTTGCTCGTCCACTGCCGATCGGCAAAAAGTCGAATTCTACTTCTTAAACCGAATTCTAGTCAGGGCCAGGGTTTTTTCTCAATTGCATTCAACGTGTGCATTTCTCTAGTCGGTTTTTCCTTCGTGATCGCTATGCGTGAAGTATTACGTGACCACCATTCCATCCAGCACCGTATCGTGAGTATTAATAACAGCCAATCGAAAGTAGAAATTTAATAAATGCGAATAATAATTTTCCTATTCATGTATATACAATTTCTCTGAGATTTGAATGAGAAATATAGTATTTATAAATTTTTTAAATTTATTTATTAAACCTTTACAAATTACAAATAAATTATTTTCTATGCTGCAGCCCAAAACATTTTAAAAAATCCCAATTCCAATTAGTATTAAATATTACTGTATGTTTGTGAATTCGTTGAATGGTACATGTGTTATCATAACCGCCGGTTGGCAAAGGTCAAAGGTCGGCAAACAGCAAGAAAGTTCAGAATGGTCTTGATTATCTCGAAAACTTTCAACGTTTATTGCGGAAAGAACGGAAAACTTGAACAATAAAGAGTGTCGACGAAGAATTCATTCTTGTAAATAGATGAACAAGATCGACTGTAAACCGGATTCAATGAATGTCTTCTGTAAGTTAAAAAGTAATTAGTAATCCATATTTGTTTGGCGGTCATAATTGGCCATACGGGCACTCTCAATACACAATAATGACACATCTACACAGAAAACAAACACTTTGAGCCCTGAAGATGATCTCAATAAAAATCGAAACGTTGGCACGATAAAGAAAATCTTTTCTAAACCTACCGCATCTCACGATTTCCAAAATAATCATTGACCATTTCAATTATTTCAATTAACTGTATTTTTATCTAAGAACTTGTTTGAGATGGTAAAGTTGGTGTCACGAGCGGGATTCGGACCCACCACCTTCGGCTCAATACGCCACTTCTGCGGGGTTCGAATCCCGCCTCGTGACACTAACTTTTTCATCGCAATCAAGACCTTACATAAAATAGAATTATTAATTGCAATAGTTAGTAATGTTTTTGACTTATGTTGATGATGGGCTACAGAAATGGTTCAATTTGAAAGGATGTTGAACATAGAGTGTCTGAAACATTTAGAAGAACAGCGAGTACGGGCGGATCCGCAGATATATCAACTATTCAACTAAGTTTGTTATAAAAGAGAACGTTAATTGCATGCAGTTTCAGTAGAAAAATAATTTTCATTAATCCAGACCTCAATCTTGTGTAAAATCAGTGTAAAATAATGGTTGCAAGCCCCAAAACGTGTTCTCATTAGAAAACTTTGTGCAGACAAAAAATTTCTGAATAAACTGAAGTGGCCAATGCTGTAAACTTAGGGATAGATCGAAATGTGTCGGAGATAAGGGAAAACAGGCCGTCCCAAAGATTTCAGGCAGAGTAAATGCAGCGTAAGTAGAAATATCAACAACCCTCCCAAAACAGTACGGACAGGTGGACCCGAAATACCTGACATATGACTGTGAAAAAAATGACTGTCAACAACCCTTTATCGAACTTACAGGATAATAAAAGACTATTATAAAGAAATGAGATATTTAAATGATGGAATTCAGTGAGTATTAGCGGACCCATTTATATCTAACATATACACGCAGTGTAAGTAGAAAAATTACTGTCAACAACCCTTACCGCATTAGTGCATTTATAAATTATTTTATCAATCAAGTAAACGACCTCTTGGAAAACCGGAAAAATTGTATTTTTTTTTTAAATTGGATATTTGAGGTCAAAGAGAACGGTGAGAACAGGCGGAGCCATAGATATTTGACCCTGATTACACACAAACAAGTATAAACGTTTCTGGAATATTCACAATAATTTCGGGCAAAATCACAGTCAAAAAGGCAACGTTTTCGAACAAAAAGTTTTCAAAAATTTCTATAATTTAAAAAAGTAAGTACCCTGTGTGATCGTCATTAATAACACAATAGTTCAGATGGTGTCGTACCTTCCTTGGCTGTGATCTGTCCGGGAAAAGTTGGGCGGTACCAAAGAATGCGTGAGCTTTTAAATACAAAACTGAAATTACAAAGTGTTGGCAACACCAATGCTGATATATGATACGAAGGCTAACGAAGCCAGAGGAGAATAAATTTAAAAAGCAAAAATCAAATTCTTACGGAGGGCCATGGAATATACTGGATTTTGGAGCGATGGCTTTCGCAAATTGAACGCATAGACGAATCAAATCAATTTCGACCTGATGACCACTAAGACGAAATCCTGGACGACGATGCAGGACGTGAAGACAGAACAGGCTGAAAATGATGGCAACAGGCCAGGAAAAACGCGAAGAAAAGAAGAAGATGGAGATTGATTAAAACATGTGGTAAAATATTGGAAAATGTAATTAATTTAATTTTAATATCAGTTGATCTCTTGTCAAAACTTACGATATTGGACAATAATTGGGTACGATCATCGTAATACCGATACCCAAATTTAAAAATATTCGGGTACATTAGCCATGGGATTTAGTTCCAGCCTTCAAAGGGTATTATTTAAATTGCATTTCGCATTGTTCGCCAAATTGAAACTTCAGAAGAGTCCGCCAAGGTCTGAATAATCCCACTTCCTCATTAGAACGCCGGCCCACACGTATGCCCTAAGAAAAGGGGAAATTAACTCGCCAGGGTTTGGAAATTGGGTAATAAAGGAACATGGAAACTCGGTGGATCCTATTAATTCGCCGATGTTACAACTGAAGTAAATTATCCCCTTCCAATCAAATATGACGAATTCTCGTATTTCCCGTTGTGCGACAAAGGTCAGAGTTCAAAAAAATCTGAAAAGTCATACAAAGGTGACGTGAGATCGACCTGATTTTTCACAATCTCAATATTACAATATTAGATTCATTTTCTTTTAAATCTAACCCAAACAACGATTACATTACTAACCTAGCATAATTATATCATGTTATTTAATATCTCCTGTCTCCCACAAAAAAAAAAAAAAAAAATGGATTGGGGAAATACATTTCATCATTGCTTGAGCTTTAGAAAATCTTAAAAGAAGTTACAGTGGTAAAACAATCCTCATAATATTGGATAGCCTAGCAGCTATCAAACATTAGCATGTAAAAAAAAGTCATATCAGAACCAGCTAGTGAATGCATCCAAAATCTGGGGAAACACAAACAACCTGATGAAATCTTGAGTACCAGAATATAAACAAATTTTGGGTAAGGAAAAAGGCGAAACACTGGCCAATGGAAGATCTGTATGACCCTATACAGTGAACCTACTTTTGGGATAGGAAAAACAAACACAGAATCCTCCATCTCAGAATGGATCCAAAAAAGACAAAAGAAGAAAATTGAGTTGTTTCCTTATTTTGCGTTGGCTAAACAGTGATTAAATAACGAGAAAATTTTCTCTTTTATAACGGAACACAAATCAGTTTATTTTCGACCAATCTTTTATATGTACTAAATTGATCGAAAACACTTATAGAAATAATATTTAAAAACAGTTGTTCCCATTCACCTGGCCGTTTTTAGCTCAACAATATTAACAACTCTGATTTTCCGATCAAACCATAAGTGTACAAGTAAGGTTTTGGCGTTCAAAAATGTTAATTTTTATATGGCATAATTACATGAAACGTATTGTTCAATTGTCTAATTTATGGTCGGATGTACGTTTTAGTTAAAAAATAAATTTAAAGATTATTTGGAAATCGTGAAATGCGGTCTGGTGTGACGTAGGTTTTAGAAAAACATTTTCTTTATCGTGCCAACGTTTCGATCTTTATTGAAATCATCTTCAGGGATCAAACGGTTTGTTTTCCGTGTAGATGTGTCATTCTTATCTTTCTTGTGTCACGCACTCTCAACAGGACTTCCCACCCATGGTCTCAGAAGGCTGCTGGTTTCATTTGGCTCATAGACCGTATGTTAAAACTTCCATTAACTCCTGCTAAATATAAAAAAGAATTAGATACTATTAAAACCATAGCAAAAAACAACGGGTATCTAGAAATATTTATTGATAGGTTATTAGTTAAAAGAATAAAAAAATTAACTTTAAAAGAATCAACAATATGACTCAGCCACCCCACCATAAATGAATCATTAGGTTTCCGTTGTTTACCATACATTGGTGAATTATCGGAAAAAGTTAGTAAAATTTTTAAACAAGAAGGTTTAGCTATATATAAGCTATAAGAATAGCTTATAGAAGTAAGGGGTCACTAAAAAACATCCTTTCAAAACCTAAAGACAAGGTAGACAGCTTGACAAAAAGCGGGGTTTACCAGCTCAATTGTAATGACTGTAATATTAGATATATAGGTCAAAGCGGTAGAGGAATAAAAACGCGATTAAAAGAATATTTGCCTAAGTCGAACAAATTTTCGGAATTCAAGGACCATCTAAAAGAAACAAAACATAATTTCAATTCAAATGTAAATACAACAGTGTTACATAGTTTCAACAAAGGAAGATTGGTTTGAGAAATTTGAAATTAAAAAATGTAAAATTGAACATGGTGATAAATGCATTAATAATATAACAGATTTTGATCTACCTCCCATTTTAAATATGTATATAAGTAATACTAAAACGACCAAATAATTAAACTAATTATTCTAATTGTTATTATTTTTTATAATAATTTAATAATATTAAGGTATTATTCTAATTATTTTATTTTTATTTATTNGCAAAAAAAAACCCAGCTCCTCATTGGAACGTCGCGTTGGCGGGGGTATCAGCGGGTTCACTTCTGCAATTCATGTTGAGAGACGTGTTTGTGGAAACCCTTCAACCTGAGGATGAGCTAAAGGGCTCGAAATTCGGATTGTTGCGAAACAACTTAATGTAGGAACCATCTTTTTTAAAAAGGATAAAAAAAACAATTGGACTTGCAAATGTGTGAATTATTAGTGAGGTAATTTATTTTATATATAAAAAATGTTATTGTATATATTAAGTTATTATTTTTGTCAATCATTAATGTCATAATTACTCATTAATTTACTTTACATAGATGGCTTGTTCACCATATATAACCGAATGCTGGCCATGTGCTTCATAACCTAAACCATTGCATTTGTTTTTTCCGATGAGAAATTTTTTTTCTCTTCTTTCTTGGGAAAGTATGCACTGATGTTTTTGATTTTTTGATTATTAAAATGTATATTAATTATGTATATTTTCTTAATAAATAGGCCCTGATGATGGCAACATAATGTTGCCGAAAGCTTGGTGATTCCAACACTTTTGTCCTTTTTTCACCTAGTAAAGACCTTAAAGAAGATATTGAACTCTACATTGATTATCTGCAGGTCGATCTACAAACATCATTAATTCAATCTTTCAACAATACAGGAGCAATGCATATTAGCCCAATTTCAGCTATCAAAGTGGGACTGGTATTGTCACCGTTGATAAAAGGATGGCTTGTAAAAGTGCTAACAGACTTTTAGGACAAAGTTGAATAAAACCTGCCAAAATAAAAACCAATCATAAAATCCTCAAAAGTATAAAAATAAATAAGATGCGTACCAAAATGTAGGCAAAATCAAATTTTTAAAAACTTTAGACCCTTTCAAAAAAAAAAAAAAAAGGTAACAAGAGGTTTCGAATAATAAAAAAAATCAAAACCTAATAGAGTGGACATTAATCAAAGACCCAAAATTTTACCTAGCACAAGTTTTAGGCTCCTTTGTTGGAAAGAAATAGTTACAAAAATTCAAACGGCCAACATTCTAAAACATCAAAGAAGGCTTGAAACTCCTCATGTTCGAGTTTGGGTGGTATGGAAAGTCCTACCATATCCACAACCCCTGGGAAAACGATATCAAGTAACTCTGACGTGGGAGGACACGAGGGAATTCAAAGCAACGACCAGACAAACTAGCATAAAAAGGAGCAGTCATACATTTTAGACGAAAGCCGATAAATTATAAAATTGCTGGCACGTTAAATGGGAAACTCAGCAAATGGTTTGAGAAAGAAATGATAACTGGATGTATTTATCAGGTGCAAAATTATCGAAGTCTTCCTCAAGATTTCAATTAGGGAAGGTAAAATTTACCCTTCTTTCTCAGAAAGGAAAAAATAATAGACTTTATAAACGTAATATAAACTATAATATATATATATAAAACTAATAAAAACGATATATATTGGAAATATATCGTAATCACACCTAGAGAAATATTAAAAAAATCGAGGGTCAATCCAACAATTCTTTTAGGAAGCAGTGAAAGAAGGGAGAAGTCACCAGTGACCCCGGAAGGAAAAAAATCCTGCTGACCCAAATATCTGTATATAAGACAAACCCGTTTGTGATGTAACAATAACATTTTGAAATTGAAATTAATTTCATACTAATTTTGAACTTCGATCTCATTACATCAGAGAATATTATAATTATAAAGAACGAGGGTAAATACTTTTAATCCTGGACTTGAAGTTATGTTTTTCACGGTGAATCGATCAATAAAAATTCATTTATGAGCACATTTGCCTTGATCAAATATCATATTTTATAATTCAATTAAATAATACAAATTACTATATTTTATGTGATTTTATAAATTTTAAGTTAATTTATAGATTCGATGAGATTTTTTTAAATATTTTACTTACAAATGAATGTTAATTAAAACAAGAGATTGCCCTGTGACCCAAACCCAAATTGGCAATATAAACTATGCGTTGTTTACAAAGAGTAAAATAAAATAATCATAAAAACACTTCTCCAATTTCTAATTACTTAATCAGCATATTTTCTTGTTACTTAACATTTCGTGTTTGGAGAAGGGGATGTTGCACAGTTGCTGGCTTTATATGGGCAGTGAACAGTCAGGCAGTCAACATTTCTTGGTCAAACTCCAGCGGAGAGACGGCGGTTCGGAAGAAATGAAAGTCATAGTGAGTAAAACGAAAGTGACAACACACACGCGAACTTTTCTTATCTAACTGTGTTGCGATTGCAGACGATTCTGTGCGCCGTGGCTGCCGTTTCGGCATACCGTGAACCAGCACCACTCGGAAAGGATGGTGTCGTCGTGGACACACCCGAGGTTGCGGCGGTCAAACTGGACCACTACCATAAATTGGCTAAGGCCGGTGGGGCGGTTCCGCATCAGTTGCACCATAGCCACTATCGTCATCACGAGTACGTAATCCCTTTTTTCAGTATTTCTATTATATTTTTTTACATTTCTTTTATTAGATATACACCTGTGGATAACGGTGAAAGGTACCACGGGCCTCCCGCTCCTTTGAATCATGACGGAACCGTCGCTGATACTCCCGAAGTTGCTCATTTAAAGTCAGAACGTGTAGCGCAGCTATCACACGCGTTGTAAGTTTAATTAACTATAAATTTCATTAATAAAATCAATTTGACTTTTCAAATTTTAGCGCGAAAGTTCACCATGCGCATTATGTCCAAAAGAGATCCCTTGGACATTATCAAGGACCACCTGCACCATTAAACCACGATGGAACTGTCGATGATACAGTAGAAGTCAAGCATGCAAAAGCTGTTCACTTTGCTGCAGTTGCAGACGCATTGTGAGTTAAATGAGCATTAATAAAAATAGAAAAATAATTACAATAAGTTAATATAAAAACATTGACGAAACAGGTCTAAGAATCATGTTGAAGACAATTCAAACACGGTTTATGAAAGAAGACTTAATAAATATGATGGATCATATGAATCTCTCAACCACGACGGAACTGTAGCACAGACCCTGGAAGTTCAGCACGACAAGACAGTCCATTTTGCCGAACCCAACAGAGCACTGTACGTACTTTATGTCCCATGTTTTCAACATATTTTTATAAATTTACTAATTAAAATTTTAGCCAAACTTATCGCAGTTTTCATAAACGTTCTGCTCAACACGCTTACCCCGTTTTGGTCAATGAAGACGAACATTTGAGGTATCACGGGCCGCCTGCTCCTCTCAACCACGACGGTACCGTAGCCGACACTCCTGAAGTCGCCTATCTGAAAGCCGTGCGTGTCGCACAGCTTGCCCGTGCTTTGTAAGTATTTTTATAAATCGACATTGAAAATAAAAATTTAAAAAATAAATTTAGCTCAGTAGCGCCAAAAGGACCGCCACTTACTCACGAAGGGAACGTAGACCACCTGCCCGAGGTGAAACATGCGACCGCTGCTCACCTCCACGCCCTTTATGAAGCTTAGTGAGTTTTTCCTTTGGGTTTTCAAGTGAAAAATGTTTAACAAGGCTAACAGACTTCTTTTTATTGAAAGTGCTAAAGCTCCCAAATCACAGGAGGAAAATTATCACTTCGTTGAAAAAAGGTCTTACGAACCGGCTGAACATTACCAAGGGCCTCCAGCCCCTTTGAACCACGACGGTACCGTCGCTGAAACCCCTGAAGTTCAACAGTTACGAGCAGTTCATTTGCATACAGTCGCAGCAGCGTAGTAAGTTTAAAAAATACGAATACAATTGCTAATGCAAGCTGTCCAGAGAAATATATTTTCATTTTATCACAATATTTTGTTTAGACATTGCAAACATTTTGTTTAGAGGGCATAAATTATTTTTTAATAAAAATACAATTTAGTTATTCCATCATAAATTTTATTAAAAATAAATGTTTGCTAACTAATATATATAAAGTGGGAAGTTTATGGGACGAAAAAAAGCTGAGGTCATCGCCGGCCCTCTGCGTGTTTTCGGGTTTTTTCTCTTCTATCGAGCGTATTTTGCTTTAAACTGCAGCCATTTGAGGGTTAAAAAACCATATATCTGGTTACTGACTCTCTGATTTCAAATAAATACTACGTTGATATCCTAGAATGCTAGTCTCTCGTTTGTACCTCAGGTTGTCAAATACAGAATAGAAACAAAACATACAATACATATCACCACAAACATAGATGGTGGTCACATTCACTCCTCCAGAGCACTCGATATTCCTCGGGGCGCGGTTGAACCTACGCCACTCTCACTAATAACTTACTTTTACTCTCCAGACGTCATACACTCATCCAGAGTACTTCCTCGGGACGGGATTATAGGCAACCACTTCCTTTCACGCTAATAAATTACATTCATTACAATAAATAAACACAAACACAACGCTCGATAGAAACATAGAAGTTTGGGCACATTCACTCCCCAAGAGTACTAGATATTCCTCGGGGCGTTGTTGAACCCACGACACTCGCTAACAACTTACTTTTACTCTCCAGACGTCCCACACTCACCTCAGAGTATTCGATATTCCTCGGGGCGCGGTTGAACCTACGCCACTCTCGCTAATAACTTACTTCTACTCTCCAGACGTCATACACTCATCCAGAGTACTCGATGATCCTCGTGACGGGATTATAGGCAACCCCTTCCTTTCACGCTAATAAATTACATTCATTACAATACATAAACACAAACACAACGCTCGATAGAAACATAGAAGTTTGGGCACATTCACTCCCCAAGAGTACTAGATATTCCTCGCGGCGTTGTTGAACCCACGACACTCGCTAACAACTTACTTTTACTCTCCAGACGTCCCACACTCACCTCAGAGTACTCGATATTCCTCGGGGCGGGGTTAAATCACCCCTTCCTTTCGCGCTAATAAATCCCATTCATTCCAATAAATTAACATAAATTCAAACACAAACACACATAAAAAGAACTATGTTCATTTAAAAATCCCTATAGCCCTGAGATACCGGAACGGCGATCCCACTGCCGTGCTCCAAGACTACGCACAGGTCCGATGATATGCCAAAATATTGTCTATATACATCAAGCCTTCTACAATTGAAAAAGTGTTCGACCGGTATTCTATCCTTGCATAACGGGCACCTACGCGGTCGCTTTCCGGCCAGAAGGTATCCGTGCGTTATTCTTGTAGGACCTATGCGTAGTCTTGTCAGTATGGCCTTTTCCCTTTTTGAACCGTTTTCAGTGGACCAGGGACCGACTTCTTTCTTAACCTGCCACAGTTTAGCAGGGTTATTTCTATTTCCCAGCGGTTTTCCCATTCTCTTTTTACAGAATTTGAAATTAATAGTTTTAAGTCCGCTGGGTAGGTTGGAAAGCGTCGCGGGGCCTTCCAGCGGCTTCTTTGGCCGTCCTGCCTACTTCTTCGTCAACAGCTATCCTACTAATAAAAAACCAAAACTAATAAAAAACTACATAAGTTGCAAACTATACAAGTTAATAGGATAATTTTTTATCTAAATTGACTGTTACAAAAATGCCTCTATTTTTATACTAACATGTTAACATTGGCATTTTCTTTATTCACATGTTGTATTACATATAAAACAAATATACCAAAACAATCAGGACAAAACGTATCATAGTTAAGTCTAAATTTTTATGAATAATATGAAAAAGATCATTGTTAATTGAAATAATAATATATTGCTGAATTTTTTTTAATTAACAGCGCTAGAGCACCAAAAGGAGCACCTCTTAAGCATGATGGAACTGTAGACGATACACCCGAGGTAAAACACGTGAAGAACGCCAGGATTCATGCCCTCATCGATGCATAGTACGAGCTAATTATATATTTCATGACGGTTCAATTTATTTATTTGTAATTTTTTAGTGCAAAAGCGCCCCAGGGATATTATCAGGAGGAGGAACAGTATCATAAATTGAACAAAAGGTCGTTACGCTATCACGGCCCACCGGCTCCACTTAATCACGACGGTACTGTTGCTGAAACACCGGAAGTCAGACATCTCAAAGCCGAGCACTTAGCGGCAGTCGCTGAGGCATTGTACGACCAGAGCAATATTAACTTGAAAATAAAATTTTAACAACTTTTTTTTCAGCGCCAAAGCGCCTAAGCATTACAGGGCAAACGACTTCCAAGATGACAGGAAGTATCGCGGATTCACACAGCCTGTCCTTTTTCAAGTTCATCCAAAGTCCGAAAGCGGCCAGTTTTTTCACATAGAGAAACCGCATGTCCCTCACTTCCGCCCTGCACCCCTCAACCACGACGGCACGGTAGCTGAGACGCCGGAAGTACAAGCTAGGAAAATTGAACATTTAAAAGCATATCACAAAGTTGCCTCTCAACTAGGATAATTTATTAAACTTATCTGTTTTTAATAAAATTATTTTTGGGCGTATTTATTTATTTTCTTTTTTATTTTATTCCGGACTGTTTTCATGACTGACCAATATCCAGCGCTTCCAATTCTTCCAAAGCAACCAGACAAATTTTTAAAGCACCTTACTAACAACCCAACTACTTCAACATTTCTTTTGCCAACAAACTGATCCGTTCTGCTTTCAAGAGTCCCACACCAACCTTCGATAACTATACTGCTAAAGCCTTGCCTTCACTTTACCATCCCGAGAACCCGCCAAGTCGCCTTCAACGATGATGAACACGTGACCGCCTGGCACTTTCATCCCCCTCCGGGTTTAGTACTCGACAAAGTCACTAGAATAATAAAAAAATACGCACAAATTTTGTAGTGTGGATTGATATGTTCGGGGCACAAATAAATAAATAATATTTAACAAAAATGATATTATGTCAAGTTTAATTATTGTAGATCATATTGGTTACTCTAACCTCGAAGTTTTGGTTTCCCACACTAATTCAGCTTCTCGCCAACTACAAATGTTGGGTCTGTTCTTTAAATTGTTAAACAAGACTACTCTTTATACTTTTCTGTGGTTGGCCTTAAGCGAATTTAACCATTAAAAAATGACAAAATAAATACCACCACTAAAGCAGGTGAGAAGCCGAAACGCTACGGACAGACCAGCGAGGGTAAGCAGACAAAAACGAGTGGGATGGACCAAACTACAGGTTCATAAAATTATATAAATAAAATTATGCCTGCAAAAATTTTCAATTGCCAACAAAAGTTACAATCTTGAGAACATGTTCTGTACATTGTCACTTTATAAAACCTGCCAATTTGAGAGAGAGAGAGAGAGAGAGAGAGAGAGAGAGAGAGAGGGAGGGAGGGAGGGAGAGAGAGTGAGAGAGAAAGAGAGAGACGAGACGAGACTGGATGAATGTATGGGTGACTGTGTTTGTCTGTGCGAAGAGAGAAAGACAAAAGAGAGAGAGAGAGACACCAAGAGAAAGGGAGAGAGAGAGAGAGAGAGAGAGGGAGAGAGAGAGAGAGAGAGAGAGGGAGAGAGAGAGAGAGAGAGAGAGAGGAGACTGTATGCACGTCTGTGTTGGCGAAGAGAAAGAGAGAGAGAGCGAGAGAGAAAGAGGGAGAGAGAGAGTGAGTGAGCGAGAGAGAGAAAAAGAGAAAGAGAGAGAGAGAGAGTGAGAAAGAGGGAGAGAGAGAGAGAGTGAGTGAGCGAGAGAGAGAAATAGAGAAAGAGTGAAGGAGAGAGAGTGTGAGAGACAGAGAAAGAGAGTGAGAGGGAGAGGGAGGGAGTAAAAGAGAGGTTGTAGAAAGAGAGAGAGAGATAACTAGCGATATATTTTTTACATATTGTACCAGGAAAACGTAGAAAAAGAGAAGAAAATGCCAAAGATGAAATTTGGCTAAGATTAAAGGAATTGTGTCAATTATTTTCTTGTGAGAGTTATTTAACAGGCTATAAATTAATAAATTCTTCTTTCGTACTTTATTGTAGTCCTTCTTTTTTTAATACATTACATTATGAGGTTTCCGTGCCGATCCTGTATTTCAGGATATACAGTTCTTTCTTGACATTTCAAAAAACATTTTAAAAGAAAAAATTACTTAATGAAGAATTTGGAAAAACTAGGTGGATGGCCAACTTGACTGCATGTTTTCTTCAGTTTTTGTCAACTTTTCATTGAAAAATTATTTAACTTAAAATGCCTTTTCTGCAATAACAAAAATTTATATCTTGAAAATGCTACGGGATCGCCGAAACATTGCAAATCTTGACTATTGACAAAACGACATACCAAAAAGTTTTTTTAAATTAATAAATTATTAAATTGATATTTCCAACGGGAACAATTTCTGTATGAAAACGGACCTCCAGAGCTACCCTAATTGTAAATATTATTTGTATTAATTAAATAAATAGCCGAGTCTATACAGGTATCTTGCCCGGCGCTTTGTACCTTTTGTAGGACCTTTGACCAACATGGGCACATCGATCGAAGCACAGAGTAAATATGAACGTGTTACGCCCTCATTCAACTTTTCATTTACATTTCAATAAAACACTCTGATGACTACCGAAATTATCCTTTTAAAATTTGGTAAATGACGGTAGTAAATTTTTTTTCTACAATTTTATTCAATCAAAGAAAATCATGCGTATTCAAGAGGTATCGGGGAAAGGTCTTAGTTTTTTGAAACGCGCATTTTCCAACATCGTTGTGGGGAAAAAACTGTACTTAAAAACTTGACCCATTAATAAGTTAAAAATTATGCTTGATTAACACAATGATTCTATTCATCGATGAATTTAATTTAATAATATAATTGATATTATTAAATTTAAATGTATTTACTTTTGCCAATGATTTTCCGATGTTTTGTAAATTTTCTTTCAAATCATCATAATTAAATAATTTTTATTCAAACTTATGAAGTTTTGATCTACTGTAATTTGGTTTACATTAATATAAATATGTTGTAATTAAAATAACAATGTTGATGAAGAAGAAATTGACCACGACGATTAATGTGTTCGGGATCTGGTTTCTGGTCAGGTAGAAAAGAAGTAGACTCTATGATCACTTGCCAAGCTTTCGGCCTTTGTAAGGCCATCATCAGTGCAGCATCCTATTTCTCATATTAACATTACAGAATGACGAAAAAACCCAGACGACATCGACTACGAGGTCCCGAAGTACATGAGGTTGGTTAAGATGAAATTGTGACAAGTTTTTTCAGTGTTTTTTTCCAAGGATAGTGGTCTCCCCTAAATGCAGGCCCAGTCGATAAAAAAACTATCCCTGTAAAAAAACACTGAAAAAACTTGTCTCACTTTCAACTTAACCAACCTCATCTATTTCGAAACCTCGTAGTCGATGTCGTCTGGGTTTTTTCGTCATTCTGTAATGTTAATATGAGAAATAGGATGCTGCCCTGATGATGGCCTTACAAAGGCCCAAAGCATGGCAAGTGATCATAGAGTCTACTTCTTTTTCTACCTGACCAGAAACCAGATCCCAAACACATTAATCGTCGTGGTCAATTTCTTCTTCATCAACATTGTTATTTTAATTACAACATATTTATATTAATGTAAACCAAATTAAAGTAGATCAAAACTTCATAAGTTTGAATAAAAATTATTTAATTATGATGATTTGAAAGAAAATTTACAAAACATCGGAAAATCATTCAGTGATAAAATAAATAACAATTTATTAACAATTTATTACCTCGTTTATCTCTTAATAGCGCAGTAAGAGAGAAACTAGGTAAAAAATCGCTAGTTAAATTTTATTCTACCATTGGTTTGTTGAATTTTATTTCGAACCATCATAATAATATATTTTTTATTAAAACTCAAAAATTTCTTATCTCGTTTAATTCGGTTAAATGAGCATGTTGTGGAATGGAACCATCCATGGCAGTGTGAGGCTTCGGGTTCTTCATGGTCGGAAAGTACGTCTCGCTCATCATTTGCCATCCATCACCTTCAAATTACCAGTTAGTTCCAGTTAATGAACAAATATAAAGAAGTATTTTTAGGTCAATGTAAGAAATGAAAACGAGATTGTTAGAATTTTTCGATTGAACGGTTTCGGGAGAAAGGAATTATGAAATAGGCTGAAAAATAAAGGATTTTTTTTTAATTAAAAATAAATATATAAAACAACATTTTCTAATTACTTAACTTGTTATTAAATAATTTTTTAATGGTTTTGACCATAAATTACTGAAATATAAATATAAAATATTAATAATATATCATAAATATATACAAATTGAAATAAATATTTAAATTTTTTAATATAAGGGTTTTTCACAATTCAATGTAAAAATCTTATCAACTTTTTTATTTTGCTATAAGTTGATTACAAGGGAGGCTAAGGACGTGGGTTCGCCAATTTCGATTTTTTGGTTTTTTGGTGACTCTAGGTCGAAAGACATCACACAAATATTGTTATTATTATATATTACTTTACTTTATATTACTTTGTTGTGCATGTTACAGCACTAAATTCAAAACTTCGTAAATTCGATGCCACGTCCAATGCAAGAGGTGATCAACGCAAGAGGAGGAAATATTTCGCACTGAATTGAATATTTTCTTCATTATTTCTATTCAAAATTTTAGGTAAGATTGTTTTACTCGGTTTAGTTTTGTATTTAAGTTTTTTTTCATTTAGCTCTATTTTGTAGTATCTCTATATAAGCATATAAAGGTTGTATGTTGAGATGGGGAGTTGGTGTCCGAGTAGATCGAAGTCACGATAGCTCAAATGGTAGAGTGGCGGCGTATTAAGCCGAAGGTCGTGGGTTCGAATCCAGCTCATGGCACTAGCTTTTTCATTCCAACCAAAACCCCTTCATCACCTTTTTAATGAACGTATAATTTAATTATTTTCTTTGGTAAATTATTGTATTTATGTATATTTGCAATTATTGTTTTATTAATGTGTTCTTTTTATGTAAGGTCTGGATTGAAATGAAAAAGTCGGTGTCACGAGAGCGATTCGAACCCACGACCTTCGGGTTAATACGCTGCTGTCAAGTCACCACTGGAGCTATCGAGACCGATCGTGCTCTAGTTTTTTCATTCCAACCAAAACCTTACATATAAAGATTAACTAATTGAAAGTAGTAATTAGGTCAATAGACCAAGAAATATAATGGATTTAATAAGTAAAACGAAGTATAACCTCATTAACACCTCCCAGTGGCCAGTTCATATGTCGCCAAGAATCGAATCCTGATTACACGACATTTGAAAAATGGCAAAAAGGAGGGAAAATTCGAAAAGGTTACCAGCGGCGTTTGAGCCGAAGGTCGTGGGTTCGAATCCCGTTCGGGGCACTACCTTTTTCATTTCAACCAAAACCTTACATAAAAAGATTAATTAGTGGAAAGAAATCATTTAGTCAATAGACCACAAAATATAATGGAACTGTTATATATATTTTTTTGATTATCCAGCAAACAACAAAAAAGAAAAATTATAACGATTGCAAGTATTTATTAAAAAAAAAAGAAAAAGATTGTGGTTACTTTCCTTCCTTCCTGGAGTATAGCAATCGATTTGATTTTTTACCCAGGATCACAAAATAATATACAGGATTGTATGAAATGAGGTAGATGTGTATGTAGGATTAAACTATGTACTGATCTACTTTTCTAAAACAAAATTTATTAATAAATTACATTTTATATATTTATGATTGTTGATGTATGCCTGTAAAAAATAGGGTTTTACAATCTTTGTCTCGATACCTGGAATATACACCAAATAAATTGAGTTAACGTCGAGCAATCTTTCCAAATATGATGTTTAGGATAGTCTCGTGTGATGGTCAAACCACAGGCAGGTTATTATTTTCTCTATTACCACTATTGCCTCTTTACACATATATGAAAAGTTTCACCCTTCCAGTAAAGTAGAGAAATGACATTTTGCCGGAAAAAAACAATTAAGATTCATTTTAAGCACCCTTTAAAAATTTTTAAATATCAAAATACCGAGGAGATCGATATACGACATTTCACTTAAAAATCTGTAAAACCTCTGGGTTTTACCTAAAATCAAAGTTATTCCAGCCGTTTGAAATTTTAATGGCTCGTTTTCAGTATTTGTCAACTTTGTTCATAGGAAAAGTATATTGCCTGTATTCGCTGGAGACAATTGTGCCCGGTGGTTCACTTAAAAACTCATAACTCTCTAGATTTGATCCAATTTAAATATTAACCACCCTCAAATTTTAATGTATTAAATTTATTCATATTTTCCGTACCAAAAATATGTTAGGTTTAGGAAACTAAGACATTTCACAAAAACGTTTTTTACCTGATTCCAAACTTAAAAAAATTGTTTTTGTCCCTTTTAATACCAAGTATTTCTACCTCTGGTACGAATCACGTCCGTTAAATGCCATGGAAAATATGGAAAAGTTTTCTGGTAAAATTCTGAGGAATTCTTTCCCATTCACCAAGAACAGCATTTCTAACTCTACTGGGGGGTTTCGACATCGTACTCGTCGCTTAGGTTTGTCCCAACTTTGGTCGTTTGGGTGCTGGACTTCGAGCAGACCACATCAATTCCATTCTCATTCAGGTTGTCATCGACAATACGTTCTCCATGGGGTCTGGAATTAACCTACATTAGCAAGAATCTTTCATAGATGTCGGGGGTAAATGACACTACATGGTCTTCGTGTCTTGCCAGTACCTCTGTGAAGTTAGACATCTTCCTGCATTCAGTTCTGTGTCGAAGGAAATGCCACCCCACAACATAACCAACCCACCGTGAAATGCGACCAGAGAAACCACACTGCATAGGGCGTACCTTTCTTCTGAGCATCTCCATATGAAATTACGCCCATATATATAATGGTCTCGAAGAAAAAAAAGCAAATTCAGTTATTACTGCCAAATTTTCGACCCTTTGTAAGGTCATCATCAGTGCTTATATTAATTTCACATTATGAAAAATATATTTCTACAATTGATTTAATGATCAGTACAATTATATAGTAAACAATTTTAAATATGCCTACAGATTGATATATTTTAGTTTTTTATAGGCGATATCAAATTTCCTTGAAGACCGACTCAGTCCTATTAAGGATTATTACCTCTAAGGAATGTTGCAGTATTGCAACCTTATCCTGAAGGATTTCCTGTCGTTATCAAAAACCTCTTTTTAAAATTAATAAGACCTTTATAAATTAAACTTAAGCCCTTAGTATCTGTTTGAATATTGCAATTATTATTTTCAATTTTAGTATATAGAACGTCTTTTATTACTCTCTGAGTAATTAGACTTTTGTCAATTATTTCATCATTCGGAAAGTCAAATTTATGCCTACTTGTTATTGCTAAGAATTGAGCCTGGTGTACAGCTGGCTTTTATCCCTCAAGTTCCAACCACACAGCACGGAAAATAAAGAGTAAAAAATTGTGGCTATGGTGAATTACCTTTTGCCCACTTCAAAACACCGCATCAGAATTTCAACGCTACGATTTTTTGTTCTGCAAAAAATTAAACGATGATTTATAATGATTCAAGTCAGGTTGTTAATAACAGATTTAAAAATGCATTATTTCTGCAGTTCGACGTAAAACAGCGTAAAGAGAATGATCTCGAACTAAGCTGACCAATTAATTTAAGCAGACTCTTAAGGTAAGAAGGTAGGGCGTTAACATTGCCAAAAAAACAATAGTGGGCCTAGTATGCCTCCCTTGGAGCACGCCCACAGTATCATTCATGAGAGAACTGACCGCGCGAAATCAACGTAAGCTTTAATATCCAGTTAATACTGCTTTCCATGGAGATATGAACAAACATTTGAGTAATTGACCTCTTACACCATACATCTCCAATTTACTGTTACGAATATCATGAACCCGACCAAAAGCCTTGCAACCAGGAATGTTACATTATTAGACAAGTCAAAGTAAGACATTACAATTAGACGAGTCAAAGCGAGCGGTGTCTGTTGATCTGAAATATACCCATAACATTATTTGAAAAAAGAAAGTTCAACATAATTTCAAATGTATGTGTTATGTACATATATTATACAACTACATAAAATTAACAGGTTTTTAAGTTTGTGTTAATTAAATATTAATTTATTATGCTGAGTGTTAGGCACAGAGAAAATTTATTATCTATTTGTATTTGACTTTTTATAATTTGTTTGAATTTTTATCCAGTGGGTTGACTTATACAAACTAATAAATTTGTATTTTCATATATTTATTAATAATTTTATGTATAGCATTTTTCTTAAATGTTTTATCACACCCTTGCAATAAACATTTCAATTGTGTCAATCATAAATTTATATTTTAATATAAACGTATATAAATTATATTTTTTGGGTATGGTATTAGTAATTTAATCCATTTTTCTTTGCGGTCGTAATTGAACGTATTAATTATTCCAATTAATTAATCTTTTTATCTAAGATTTTTGGATGGTTGAGATGAAAATTTAAGTTGAAAATGTAGCAAAAATGTGGGAAAATTCGTACGATTGTGTGTTGGGATGAGTAGCTGTCCGATGGGCAAGAAGCTCAAGTGGTTAGAGCAGCGGCTTAATGAGCGGAAGGTGATGGGTTCGAATCCCGCTCGTGACACTAACTTTTTCATCGAGTAATTAGTATTAGTATTATACAGGGTGTTACAGAGTTTAAATGTGAATGGTGGATTCACGAAATAAAACGTAGTTCAGTCCCACCAGAACTAGATTTCTAACCTTACTCTTGCCTGAAATATTAAAATTTCTGTAATTTTTCTCATAAAATCGTAATTTATCATCTTTAGCGGCATTAAAATACAAATGTGACCTTTATTACGCAAACTACATTCAATTTTCCACGAGATAAGACCATTTCCTTTGTAAAATTCGCCTTTCCAAATACACAGTAGCCGCTCAATTTTATGTGCAAAAATCTGATTTTAGACTAAAATCACAAAAATGTTAACATCTCAGGAAAGACACAAGATAGAAACCTAGTTCTATTCTAACCTAAGGTTTATTTAGTGAATCCACCATGGTAGTATTGACATTTAACCCTGTAACACCCTGTATAATAGAATTTTAGTAGTAGCTTGATAAGAATTGAATTATGTAATTAAATATTTATGTTGACTCTTACAATCAGGTATTATCATTGATCTTACAATAAAAACTCAAGAACAAAAGACTTACTCACAATACAAATTTTCAAAAATTAGTACACGCTGACGACAGTGTAATTAACCCTATTGGAAACATTTAAAAATGTACATTGGCTTTATATTTACTTTTGAACATAAAGCGTAAATTAACATAAGACAAATCAAACGCGGGTAAAATTAAAAAAGTACGGCAGAACTTTGGTATTTGTGAACAAAAAAATGTAAAATCTAATCATTCCTCTATATAAAATTTTAGCCAGTTATAATCAATGAATCTATCAATTTAAAAATAAACAAATATTTCTATTGTCGGCACCTACCCCAAAAGAAATACAAATTTTAGTAAACGCTCAAGAACATTTACACTGGAATCCGATAATTGCACGGTTACCCCATCTGAATTGTTCAGTCCGCGTATTAGTTAATGTTCCGTGTGGGGAAGGGGATGTTGCATAGCCGTTGTAAGTATATAAACCGAGCGTGGTAGTGATTCGTTAAACAGTTTGGGATCTACCATCTGAACAGTTAGCAATGAGAGTGACTGTACGCATTTGGATTAACCAATTTTGTAAAGATATTGATTCAAATTTTAATTCTTTAGATAATATTGTTCACCATTTTTGGTGCTTCGTTGGCTTTCTTCGTGCCGGCTCCTCTCGGTAAAGACGGTGTGGTAGTGGACACAGCGGAAGTTGCAGTTCAAAAATTGGAACAATATAAAAGTCTGGCAAAAGCTGGAGGAGCGGTACCTTTCGATGCACAACACACATTGAACGGATACGAACAAAAGTAAGGGCAAAACATGAAAATGAAAACTTTTATTAATAATTCACTATTCCGCTTGACCAATTAATACAAGACAATTAATTAAGGTTTTTAGTTGAGATGAAGGTCAAGCGGACCACGAAAATAGCGAATTAATGATTTAAAAATGAAGTACACTTCACTAAAGCTCTCCGTCGCCATTTCAATTGTCGTCGAGAATCCAAACCGATTACACGACATTTGAAAAATGGCAAAAGGAGGGAAAACTCATAAGGTGGGGTTGAGATGGGGAGTTGATGTCCGAGTGGATCGAGGTCACGATATCTCAGGTGGTAGAGCAGCGGCGTATCTAGCCGAAGGTCGTGGGTTCGAATCCCTCTCGTGCCATTAACTTTTTTTCATCCCAAGTAAAAACCTTAATTAATTGACTTTTATTAATCCTTTCACAAATCAGACCAGTTGGTCAACATTATAGATACCACGGTCCTCCGGCGCCTCTAAACCACGATGGAACCGTCGATGAAACTCCCGAAGTGAAACATGTTAAAGCAGAAAGGCTAGCTGCACTTTCGGAAGCATTGTTAGTTAATTATGATAATTTTGGAAAAAGATAGCAAGTCTAATCTGAAATTTTCTGTAGTGCCAAAGCTTCACATGGCTATGAAGATCACCAACAAGGAGAAGGCTACGATCAACGCCAAGGAAACCATGATTTCAGGTACCATGGACCACCAGCTCCTCTCAACCACGATGGAACTGTCGCTGAAACCCCTGAAGTAAAACATGTTAAAGCTGCTCGTCTCGCTGTACTGTCTGAAGCTTTGTAAGTTGTTCATTTATGCTGAAATGTTCATTGCTGTTTAAATAATTTTTTATTAAATACTTTTCATTTATAGTGCCAAGGCCCCGAAAGACGACCACCACCACATGTTTAAAAGATCTCCCTTCTTTGGATTAGAACAAGTGGAAATGGGACATTATCACGGGCCTCCAGCTCCTCTCAACCACGATGGAACAGTTGCTGAGACCCCTGAGGTTAAGCACGTAAAAGCTGAACGTCTCGCTGCTTTGTTTGAAGCATTGTACGCTATAGTAATATCGAATATTCATAAAATATCTGACTAAACATATCTTCTAGCGCTAAAGCACCACGAGGAAACGAAGAACATCAACATGAAATGAAATATGAACAAACTCACGAAAACGATGTGTTTAAATACCACGGACCTCCTGCACCTTTGAACCACGATGGAACCGTTGCTGAAACGCCAGAAGTAAAACATATAAAAGCTGCTCGTCTTGCGGCCCTTTCTGAAGCGTTGTAAGTACCGATAGTGCGATATAATGACAGAAAGTTTAATTGTTATCATTTTACTCTGCTACAGTGCAAAAGCGTCCAACAGTTATAAAGGACATCAACATGAAGAAAGATATGAACAACCCCAGGAAAATCATGAATTCAGGTACCACGGACCTCCTGCACCTCTGAACCACGATGGAACCGTTGCTGAAACCCCTGAAGTGAAACATGTCAAAGCTGCTCGGCTAGCTGCTCTGTCTGAAGCCTTGTAAGTCCCTAAATTGTGCTGAAATTTTTATCGATGTTGAAATAATTTTGTTGCAAATACTTTCTTTTATAGTGCCAAAGCCCCGAAAGACGAACACCACAACATGTTTAAAAGATCTCCCTTCTTCGGATTAGAACAAGTTCAGTCCGGACATTACCACGGGCCACCAGCTCCTCTTAATCATGATGGAACTGTTGCTGAGACCCCGGAGGTTAAACACGTTAAAGCAGAACGTCTCGCTGCATTAGCAGAAGCATTGTACGTCATAGTAATTGCAATTATTCTGAAAATATCTACCTTAAGATATGTTGTAGCGCTAACGCACCACGAGGACACGAAGAACTTCAACATGGACACGAACAGCCACAAGAAGACCATGAATTCCGGTACCACGGACCCCCTGCTCCTTTGAACCACGATGGTACCGTTGCCGAAACTCCAGAAGTAAAACACGTCAAAGCTGCTCGTCTTGCGGCCCTTTCTGATGCATTGTAAATATCGATAGTATGATGTAATGTCAGAAAGCATAATTTTTATAATTTTACTGGGGTACAGTGCAAAAGCTTCTCACGGCTATAAAGGACACCAACAGGCAGACAGATATGAACAACCCCAGCATAATCATGAATTCAGGTACCATGGACCACCTGCTCCTCTCAATCACGATGGAACCGTCGATGAAACCCCTGAAGTAAAGCATGTGAAAGCGGCTCGACTAGCTGCTCTCTCGGAAGCTTTGTACGTCTGGCATTAGATTGTGATATTTTCATAGCTGTTAGAATCTAATCTAGATATTGAATTTTTTTGCAGTGTTAAAGCCCAAAATGATGAACACCACCATAAGTTATATAAAAGATCTCCATTATTTGCATTCGAACAAGTCGAATCCGGACATTACCATGGGCCTCCAGCTCCTCTTAACCACGATGGAACCGTTGCTGAGACCCCTGAAGTTAAGCATGTCAAAGCAGAACGTCTCGCTGCATTAGCTGAAGCATTGTAAGTTATTGTAATTGTAAATATTTTTAAAGTAGTCTCACTGAGCATTTACTGTAGCGCCAAAGCTCCACAAGGACTCGAAGAACATCAACATGGATTAAAATATGAACAACACCACGAAAACCAAGAGTTTATGTACCACGGACCTCCTGCCCCTCTGAACCACGATGGGACGGTAGCTGAAACTCCCGAAGTTAAACATGTAAAAGCTGCTCGTCTTGCGGCCCTTTCTGAAGCATTGTAAATATCGATAGTACGATGTAATGACAGAAAGCCTATTATTTATAATTTTACTGTGGTACAGTGCAAAAGATTCCCACGGTTATAAAGGACATCAACATGAAGAAAGATATGAACCACCCCAGAAAAATCATGAATTCAGGTACCACGGACCACCTGCTCCTCTCAACCACGATGGAACCGTCGATGAAACCCCTGAAGTAAAACATGTGAAAGCTGCACGACTAGCTGCACTCTCCGAAGCTTTGTACGTCGGGCATTAAGTTATGATATTTTGATAGTCGTTAGAATCCTAAAAGTGAACATTTTGTTGCAGTGTTAAAGCCCAAAATGATGAACACCAACACAGGTTATTTAAAAGATCTCCATCCTTTGCATTCGAACAAGTCAATTCTGGACATTACCATGGGCCTCCAGCTCCTCTAAACCACGATGGAACTGTTGCTGATACCCCGGAAGTTAAGCACGTCAAAGCAGAACGTCTCGCTGCATTAGCTGAAGCATTGTAAGTTATTGTAATTGTAAATATTTTAAAAGTAGTCTCACTGAGCATATAATGTAGCGCCAAAGCACCACAAGGACTCGAAGAACACCAAGGTAGACTAAAATACGAACATCATCACGAAAACCAAGAGTTTAGGTACCATGGACCTCCTGCCCCTCTGAACCACGATGGAACGGTGGCCGAAACTCCCGAAGTTCAACATGTCAAAGCTGCTCGACTTGCAGCACTTTCTGAAGCATTGTCAGTATCGGTAGTACTATGTAATGAAAGAAAGCCAAATTTTTATAATTGTATTATGGTGTAGTGCAAAAGCTTCCCACGTCTATGAAGGACATAAACAAGAAGAAAGATATGAACAACCCCATGAGAATCACGAATTCAGGTACCACGGACCACCTGCTCCTCTCAACCACGATGGAACCGTTGATGAAACCCCTGAAGTGAAACATGTCAAAGCTGCTCGGCTAGCTGCTCTGTCTGAAGCCTTGTAAGTCCCTAAATTGTGCTAAAATTGTTATCGATGTTGAAATAATTTTGTTGCAAATACTTTATTTTATAGTGCCAAAGCCCCGAAAGACGAACACCACAACATGTTTAAAAGATCTCCCTTCTTCGGATTAGAACAAGTTCAGTCCGGACATTACCACGGGCCACCAGCTCCTCTTAATCATGATGGAACTGTTGCTGAGACCCCGGAGGTTAAACACGTTAAAGCAGAACGTCTCGCTGCATTAGCAGAAGCATTGTACGTCATAGTAATTGCAATTATTCTGAAAATATCTACCTTAACATATCTTGTAGCGCTAACGCACCACGAGGACACGAAGAACTTCAACATGGACACGAACAGCCACAAGAAGACCATGAATTCCGGTACCACGGACCTCCTGCTCCTTTGAACCACGATGGTACCGTTGCCGAAACTCCAGAAGTAAAACACGTCAAAGCTGCTCGTCTTGCGGCCCTTTCTGAAGCATTGTAAATATCGATGGTATGATGTAATGTCAGAAAGCATAATTTTTATAATTTTACTGGGGTACAGTGCAAAGGCTTCTCACGGCTATAAAGGACATAAACAAGAAGAAAGATATGAACAACCCCATGAGAATCACAAATTCAGGTACCACGGACCACCTGCTCCTCTCAACCCCGATGGAACCGTTGCTGAAACCACTGAAGTTAAACATGTCAAAGCGGCTCGTCTAGATACCCTTTCTGAAGCTTTGTACGTCTGGCATTAAGTTGAGATATTTTCATAGCATTTAAAATCTAATCTTGATTATTGTTTTATTTGCAGTGCTAAAGCTCGGAAAGATGAACACCACCACAGCGATTCTGAGCATCTCGCTGCCCATCACAAAACTCTTGTATACCTTTGGTGAAATTTAAGACTGTATTAGGCGTTGATTATTTATAAAATATAGAATTTTAAAAATGACTGGCTTAAAAATTCCATTTCTTTAATTTTTCCTTAATTATTTTTTAACAAAAATTCAACAAATTATTTGATTAAATAGAAAAAATAAATATTTTTGAATATGCCCGTCGCCGCTTTGTTTAAAAACAGTGGTAACGACCATTTATGTTGAAACAATTATTCATTTCTGTCATATTGAAATCATATAAATTAAAATAATTACATTATCACATTATTATATATCCTGCTAATTGGTTTAGAATTTTCAGGTTCTATCTGAGTCCAATTAGATGGTTTTCGTATGCTAATTATATGTGCACCCTGGCATAATAGTATTGTTTAATTAACGCAAGCATCCGTATCCGTCCCGCATATCAGGCGTTTATCACTGTTCAAGTGCCATTTTCGATTTTGTTCCACGTGAGAGCGAAGTTCAAGTTAGTGTTTTATCTTAATGATCTTAGTGTGCTTTATGCACACTACTGATTGGAACTCCATGAACACTGGGGACCGCGGTAGCCGAGTGGTTAGCATGAGAGACTCTCTCGCCGCGGTCGTGGGTTCGATTCCCACCGTCGCCTCTGGCTCTTTTTTCACAAAACCCCCCCCCCAAATTTGAACACACATATACGAATTGCCACATGGCTAATATGCATAGTTCATAACGCCAAAACAAAAAACAAAAAAAACTCCATGCACACAGAGCTAACGTATTTTTCTTTTAATTTTGATAAATGTGTAATGAAAAGAAAATCTACGATTTGACGGAAAGACATTAAGTTTTTGCACCTTGCTTAAATGTATAGGTTAAATAGCAAGGAATGAGCATACATTTAACATATAACGTATAAAAATTTTATATCACTCCTCCAAGATAAAGATAGTATATTGAAGTTGAAGCAAGATTGTGTCGATCTCAAATCAAAAACGTTCCACCCGAAAATATTTAAAGATAGAATTATCTTAAACATAATATATATATAACATAATATTTCATGTAATAACAATTAGCTGTTAGCAATTACGAATTAAGATAAAGAGGTGCATTGTTCGCGTCACGGTTCGCATATCAACGCTTTCCTTCAAAACCTCAAGGATTAAATCATTTTAATATAATTTTTTTGGTGAAGGACGAAGTATACAGGGTGTTCAAGCTAATGCTCATGCTACCAATTGTTCACATCATATCAACAGGGTTCATGTCAATCAGTTGAAGAGGTTCCATAATTTGTGGCTCATTTTTTACACTTAGGTAGTTTCATTGAAGACCATCTGCTTACTGTAAGAATTGATGAAGGTGTAAAATAACAATAAAAATTGGGTTACACCTAAACGCATGGATTATACAAAATTGGAAGCCATCTCGTCTAAATATCAACGATTTTGTCTTCCTGCAACAGCTCCATTTCCCTAAATTAAAGAACAAGAAACAACACCTTGGGAAAATCAGATGTTTTATTTAAAAAAATTGAAGTAATTCCTGAACCATGAGGTATTCCTGTAATTTTAATTGTTTTTTTTTTATATTTATTTATCATTAACATGTAAACTTGTTTATTTACATTATTTTCTGGGTATGCATAACCCCCAAATAAAACTTTTTTTTTTTTTTTAATTAAGAAACAAAACTTCAACATGTTCTACATTACATATTCTTTTAAAATTGTAGAGATTACTAAACAAAAAATGTTTGAAACTCAACTCAAAATTCATTGACGGAAAATGAAACAACAAAAATAGAAAAGCTTTGTAAAACCTTCATTTTCTCCCATCAATCTTTTGCCATTTATCTGGTGAATGGGCTAGGAAATAGTCAATTAAAAGTTGGGGCGACTGAGATAATCTCTATAAATGAAACGGTTTAATTTTATATGAATTATTTATAGTTTAAAGGTGAACGTGAAGTCATGAAAACAAGGGGATAAGAGTTGTACAAGAGTACAATTCACCAAATAAATTGTATTAAGGCTGATGTTTTTTTTATGAAATAATTAACTTTTCATCAGTTGTATCTAGTCAATATACAGGGTGACGGCCCCCCATTTTTTTCTTTGCAAATTTTAAGATTAAAAAAAGTATGAATTTAGACTCCCCTTCATTTTTCATGTAGTTTGTTCATGTAAGGTCGATTTATTTTTCTCGACCTCGATTCGATATAAGTCAAATTCAAATTCTTAATTTTAAACAAGAACCCCATTTTTACATTTTTTTAAACTAGATATTTCAGGGAGAAAAATGAGCAGTGACTTATTAAAATCGGCCCAATAGAGCCGATTATATGATTTTTTGAAAATAGACGGAATGCTGTTCTAGTCTGTTAGGTCGAAACCAATTTATTTTGCCTTCTACTGAAAATATTTTATATTAGTGTTTACTTACGGTGGGGATTTGAAACCCACCACTAGTCCTGAGGAACTGAGGAAAAGATTAGTAGACGCTTCTCATTCTCTTGGGGAAGCCATAGGTCGTGCTGTGTGCGATGCATGGTTGAGATATCGGGGCGTGTATATTTCAACAGGGTGGAAATTTTGAACAGTTGTAATATTTTCATGAGGGTTTTTTCTTCCTTTTTATAAGAAATGGAAATTTGAGTTAGTAAATTTTTAATCCGGATAAGAAAGGACTTGTCCCAACAAGGGTCTGGAAACGAAAAATAAACGTTAGTTCCTACATTCCTATGATTTGTTATTTAATCTTTTTATGCCAAGAGAGCAACAGTTACGATTAATTTTCACTTCGCAGTGGTTGGTCCAACCCCCGGTCGAGAAAGGAGGTGGGATTTGAACTGCAACCAAGGTATTTCGGTAAATGAGTCTTGGGCAAGATCAGGTATTGGTCGAGGAGAAAAACGATACAAAATACGAAATTTATGAGATCTGGCGTGAAATTTAGTAAGCTTTCAAACTTTTCTCTCTAATTTGGTTGATTTTCTACTCCTCTTCAATTTATTTGCAGTAGAAGGCAAAATAAAGTTGTTTCGACCAGACTGGAGCAGCATTCCGGCTATTTTCAAAAACTCATATCTCCGGTTCTATTAGACCGATTTTAATAGCTCCGTGCTCATTTTTCTGACCAAAAAATTTAATTTCAAAGAAAAATGTGAAAAATGGGGGGTTTTAATTTAAAATTAAGAATTTGAATTCGATTTATATCGAATCGAGGTGCAAAAAATAAATCAAACTTACTTTTTATTATTATTTATTTTTATTACAATCTGTAATTATTATTTACAATATGTAATATGCGGATACATGAACTTATGTACAACTATTTACATTGAGGGGAGAAAATAATCAATGTTATCCTCCCTCTTCACTTTTTTTTTTTTTTTTTTTTTTTTTTTTTACTCGGAAAGGAGGTCGCGGGGCCATTTCTTCTTAAGACGCCTTATGGTGTTGTAGGGATGGGTTCTATCGGACAGGGCTTGGGCAAGACTATTTGGATCGTGGGAGAGATTTTTGTGGAATAAATTTTTGGATATAAGGAATTTGAAGGTCGTTGTGGAGGGTATCATTTGAGACATAATAAGGAGTATTTACAATGGGTCTGAGGAATTTAGATTGAAAGGATTGCAGACGTTGGATATTGGAAGGTTTAGCAGTTCCCCACAGTTCTATTCCGAACGTCCAAATCGGTTGTAGTAGTGTTTTGTAAATTGTAAGTTTGTTTTTTGTCGATAGTTTAAACTATCGTCCTATAAGTCTGTGCAGTAGACCATACCGTCTGTTTAGGTTTTGTCGTGTCAGTCGTGTACGTTGATTCCACGTTAGTCGTGAGTCTAGGTGGAACCCAAGGTAGCGAACGCAGTCGGATTTGGGGATAGGAACGTTGTTGTAGTATATCGTGAGAGGAGGTTTGCTTCGGAGTGTAAATGTATCTTCATTTTCCATTGTCTACACCAATCTGCTATACATGACATATGTTCCTGCAGATCTTCCGAAGCAACCGCAGGATCGGAATTGGAGGATAGTACAGCTGTATCATCGGCGAAGGGTGCAAGTAGGGTGGTAGGTTTAGTGGGAATGTCTGCAGTATAAAGGATGTAGAGGATTGGTCCGAGCACACTGCCCTGCGGTACTCCCGCAGCCAGAGAGCAGTATTCGGAGTAATCTGATCCTTGTCGGAATCCGAAATAACTGCTCTGTTAAATCAAACTACATGAAAAATCTCAATTTATACTTTTTTCCTACCTAGAACCGCAAAGAAAAAAAAATGGGGAATGCTCATTAGCTTGGACACCCTGTGTATTGACTAAACACAACTGATGAAAAGTTAAGTCATTTCATTAAAAAAATCCGCCTTAATACAATTTATTTAGTGAATTGTAATCTTGTACAACTCTTATTCCCTTGTTTTCATGATTTCATGTTCACCTTTAAACTATAAATAATTCATATAAAATTAAGTTTCACTTGTAAAGATTATCTCAGTTTTGGTTTAAAAAATTGAAATTTGTTTTTTGGATGATGGAAAAGTTTACCGTACTTACGAGAGGAGACGAGAACGTTTAAGAATTGATGACACCAGATAATTCATATCCCTCTGAAATTATAATAACAGTTCTTAATTGCTCCGAAATTGGAGCCTTCGTTAGTTAAGTATTATGTTTTCCGTCTTTCTTTACGCCCCAACTTTTAATTGACTATTTCCTAGCCCAGTCACCAGATAAATGGCAAAAGATGAATGGGAGAAAATGAAGGTTTTACAAAGCTTTTCTTTTTTTTTCATTTTTCATCTGTGGAAGTTTAAAAAAATTATTTTCAGATGTAATTTTTTTCAGTAATCTATAATTTGAAAAGAATATATAATGTAGAACATTTTGAAGTTTTGTTGCTTAATTAACAAAACGTTTTACATGCATAACCCCCTTACACAAAAACATTTATATATAAACATCGACTAAATGTTAATGATAAATAAATATCAAATAAAACCCAATAAAGATTTTTTTCTGGTCAGCGAAAGATGAATCGTAATTTGGTCGT